CCCATCTTATGTAAAATTGAATATCTATGTTTGTATATTCACAAAGAGATGTGTTAAGGAATGTTCCCTAAAATGTTAACTGGCTTTCTCTGGTAAAGTATATTAACTGTCACAGAAAAGAGAATACAAATGGCTTTGAAACACATGAAAAGATGTCCATCTCACTTGTAATTAGAAAAATATAAATTTATTTTTGCTTTGGTTTAAAAAATGACAGTTTCTTAGGTAGTTACCATGAGCAGGATAGCATTAGAGTTAAAGAGGCTACTTAGAAATCTCATGTAGTACCTCAGATGAAGATGGAGAGGAGAGAATAAGTTAGAGAGAAATTTAGGAGCTAGGGTTTATAGGGCACAGTGACTATGAAAAGAAGAAAGGAATCCAATATGTTGCTGACATCTCTGAATGAGTAGAAAGTGGGGAATAAGGAGAATCTAGTTTTGGACCTAGTGAGTTCAAAGTGTCTATATGTCAGAGATGCCTAGGAAACAGTCAGATATATTGTTCTAGAATACGGGTGGGTTGGGAAAGGATCTGTATTGAAGACAGATACTGGAAGCCATAGAAATTGATGAAATCACTCAGAGAAAGTGAAAAGATTACAGGTCAGAGAAGTAAAAGGAAAACCATGTCCTGAAAGCCAAGGGAGGGCAGAGTTTTAAGCAGAGAATGTTTAATGGAGATCAAGTAAGATCAGGCTGAAAAATATTAGATGTGGTAGCAAGGAAGTCATTGGTTACCTTGGACCAATCCATGTTGGTAGATTGGTAGCATCAGAATCCTGACTGCCCTGGTGCAATGTAGACCCTTTTGCCCTGAGTATTTTTCTTGGAATGTTAGTCCCACAACACTTCTTAGAGCGTTTATTTAACATGAATCTCTTATACTGGGTTTCTCAAACTTACTTGATCCAGGAACTCTTTTGCTGTTGCTTTAGCATCTTACAGGGCTAACTTGGAACACATACAGGAAACATTGGAGTATGCCAGTCTTTGAGGAAGTTTGATGATAAAGAAGGGAGAGAGGTAGGATAGTAACTAAGTGGGAATATATAGCATTAAGAGTTTTGTTTTTTTAAAATAAATTGATACTTCAGAATACTTATAAACTGAAGGAAAGAAACCAGAGGATATAGAGAGGTTGGTATTATAGGAAATAAGGTTCTTGGAGTCCCAGAAGAGATAAAAGTGAATAGGATCCTGAGAACAAGTCAAGTTTTGAACAGGGATAAGAAACTTAAAAAGGATGCAGATAGCTGAGACCAGTGAAGACAATTTACCCATTTAGTAAAGCAAAATAATACCTTGTCTTGTAGACAGAATAAACTGGAACAGACTTCACTGTGCTTTTGAAAGAAGAAAAATTAATGGAGATTACAATATTGCTCAATATTCTCAATTATGTTACTTAGTGGATAGAAGAGATAAGTGGCTCCAAGCATAAATTTCTGCCTTGCCCATACTCTAGTTTACCTGATCCTTCAAATTTTATATTTCACAGGATGCTAGGCATGCAGCTGAAGAAGAGATTTATACCAACTTAAACCAGAAGATTGACCAGTTTCTACAGCTGGCAGACTACGACTGGATGACAGGAGATTTGGGCAACAAAGCTAGTGATTACCTAGTAGACCTCATTGCCTTTCTACGTAGCACCTTTGCTGTATTCACACACCTTCCTGTAAGTGACAGTTACTCTTACTTTGCCTAAAATGTAGAAAAGTATTTCTCTTGATATCTGGTTTAGTGAGGATGTTAGTTTTTTGCTTTAACTAGCCAGGAAGTTGTTCAGGGTATAAAAGATGACACTGTAATTATCAACCCTTAATGAGGATTAGAGACGTTTTCTCTAATTTTTTCATTGACTTTTGCATTTTATTTATTCTGAAAATAGTTCCTAATATCATGTCACTTACCTGGCTACTGACTTGAAGGTAATTAGTACACAGACATAATGTAAGCTTTGGTAGAAATAAAAGAGAAATTTAGAAGTTAGAATTTCAGAATTTCTTTGAATTTGAATTGAATTTCTTTCAATTCTAGAATTTTCGTTTAATACACTCAGATTCTCCACTGAAATTTCCATCTTTTTATCTACTTTGTCTACCTTTTCTCTGTTTTCTCAAACATATTAATCAGTTATTTTGAAGTCATTGTTTACTAACTCCAACGTGTTGTTTACCTGAATCTGTTTGATTTTTCTCTTGATTGGTCATATCATCTATCTTTTTACAATCCTAGTATTTTTTGATTGATTTTAGACATTGTGTTAGACATTGTGACTGAGCTGGGTCATGGTTGAGTCGCAGTTGCAGTCTACTTCTGGTTTGCCTCTGTTGCTAGGATATGGTCCTGCAGGGCTTTTTAAGGACCTAGCAAGTCATTGCCTTTTCAGCACCAAGAAGACTGAAAATTCCCACTTTTCAGAGAAACCTTATCTTTTTAGCCTCCTACCTTCTTCCATTTCAAAATCTGGCAGATGTCTTGAGAGGGAGTCTGTATTTGAGGCCCTTCAAGTCTCCACTTTTATGCTTCTAGTCACACATAACCAAAATGTCTGAGTTTTCTGTACCCTAGCAGACCCTCTATAAGAGGCCAAGTCTAGATTCTTAGTGGTATCCAGATCAGCAGTTTCCACCAGGAAAAATAAATTTGTTGGAGATTGTCAGTGTCCATTCACCACTCCCTTAAGAGCCTTCGGCTATGGATCCTCTCCTAGCAAATCGTTTTCTTTGAAACGGTTTGAGACTGTGGGAAATTATACTTTGCTTTTCCAAGGTTTTGGCTTAGTTCTTAATTCTTCTCAACTGTATAGCTTTAGAATTCAGCAGCTGTCTTGAAAAAATGGCCTTCACAGCTTCAATTTTGACACTCCACCCCATGTAAGCAGCAACATCTCCCTGCTTTCTTTGACCCCTAGCAGTGACTTTCTGCATGGATCTAACCCAGATTATTAATCGGTTGCCTATGCCCAGGTTTGGCAAATGCCGCCAGGGACAGCTTCAGATACTCAGCTCACCTTTGAAAGGTTCTACCTTCCCTGCGGTTTTATTCCCATTAATCCTCATTGCTTCACTGCCCTCTGATGTCTTTAAATATATGACTTACAAGTTTTTTACTGAATTTTCTAGTTGTTTTTACTAGGACTACTGATTTGCAGAAAATAATGTCATTTTATTTAGCTTCATCCTGATACTAAAACCAGACAAAAGTAGCACAAAAAAAGAAAACTCTAAACTTACAATTATGGATTTAAAATAAATAAATAAAATGTTAGCAAGTCAATCTCAAAGTGTTTTAAGAAAATAATTTAGCACTACCACATAGTATTTGTTCCAGAAATGCAAGGATGGTTTGATATTTAAAAATCTATTAAAACAATTTTTCACATTACTGGGAGGAGATAAGGTATATAACCATCTTGATATATTCCAAAAAGTCATTGTATAACATTCAGCCTTCATGCCTGATTAAAAAACAAAATAAAACATGAAACTTACTGAAAGATGAGCAGTATAATATTTCAATAACATGATAAAGAGATCTATTTGAAATTCGGTATCCTCCACAGATTTAACATTGGAATACTAAAAATATTCATGCACATTAACGTCAAAAGTAGGGTGAAGATTATTCTCATCAATGCTTTAGAAGTTTTATTCAAATAAGTCAGGCAAGAAAAAGAAATACATTATAAATATTTTAATGGAGTCCTTAGGTGCTGTGGTGCAGTGGTTAAGAGCTACAGCTGCTGACCACTAGGTCAACACTTCGAATCCACTAGCCGCTCCTTGGAAACCCTATTGAGCAGTTCTCTGTCCTATAGGGTTGCTGTGAGTTGGAATCAACTCAACAGCAATGGATTTTTGTCTTTTGGTAGGTGGTGTAAACTAATGGTTAACGTGCTCAGCTGCTAACCAAAAGGTTGGTGGTTTGAGTCCACTATGAAGCACCTTATAAGAAAGGCCTGCATAGGACGTCCGAGTTAATTGGCCTAACAACATGTTTAGTGCTTCTGTTCTACCTCCTAGTTCGTTGCGTATTGCCTGGGAGCTTAAAAGCTTGCAAGTGGTCATCCAAAGCACAGCAGTTGATGTCTGTTCACCTGGAACAACAGAGGAAGAAGGAACATCAGGAATAGAAAGAGGATATGGAATGTGTGGCTAATTGCCTCCACGAACAACTGCCTCCTTTGCCATGAGACCAGAAGAACTGGATGGTACCCAGCTACCATTACTGAACATTTTGATCAAAGATTCTCTAGAAGAATTTTGATCAAAAGAGGGGAAATGCAGAACAGAATTTCACATTTTCATGAACTCCAGATTTCCTGGAGCCATGATGGTTGGATGAACCCAATGAACTATTTTCCTGAGATAATCTTTAAACCTTAAACCAAAAATATTCCCTGAAGTCTTTTTAAAACCAAACAATAGTTTAGCTTAACTTGTAAAAAATGTCTGCCTTGAGCATTAAGCTCTTTTAAGAACTATCTATATGGGATCAGATTTACAGTAGCAACTTGAAATATTAGATAGGAACCTTAGGGGGCAGTGAATTTGTGTTAATTGGGGAGGAACAACTCAGAAAAGGAGAGTGAGAATGGTTGCACAACTCAAAGAATGTAATGTGTCACTAAATGGTACATGTAGAAACTGTCGAATCGGTGTATGTTTTGCCGTGTATACTCTCAACAACAACAATAAATTAATTTTTTTTTAAAAAAAGAAGATTTAAAAAAAAACCCTGACAGTCTACTTCCAAAAGATCAGCCATTGAAAACCCTATGGAGCACAGTTATACTCTGATACACACGGGGTCACTATGAGTCAGAATCACCTTATCGGCAATTTGTTTTAATGATATCAATATTATCATTATTCACACATTATTATAGTCTACAGGAGTCCCTGACTTACAACAGGCTTTTGTTCTGACGACTCTGTCATAAGTTGGTTCTGACCTAAGTCAAATACCTCATTTTTTTTTTTTTTTTTTTTTAGTTTTCATTATTATTGCCTTTTGAGTCAGAATTGACTCAGTGGCAATGGGTTTTTATAAATCATAATGTTGAACATCTGTAAGTGAACATCTGAGTATGATAGCATCAGCAGATTAGATGCTGCAAGATTGTATGTAATTCATATTACTAACGATAAGATGTTCCAAAAAAAAAGCAGCACATAAGTGCAGTTAGCTGTCACTCAAATACATCATAAGTTGGAGGACTGCCGTTACTTAGATAACTTGAGAAAATCAACTGAAAAATAATGAATAGGACCAATAAAAATTTACCATTTTTAAGATGGTCCACTTACAAAACAAATAAGCTTTCCTTTATATTAGTGATAACCCACTGCCATCGAGTTGATTCCGACTCATAGTGACCCCATAGGACAGATACCCATGTAGAAAATGTATTCCAAAAATATACCCTATTCATTCTTGGGGCATAAGATATAAGATTTCTGTGTGTACACTTAGCAAGAAATATGCAGAACTAATGTAAAGAGCGCATCGCAGAGTAATATAAAAGAGACTTGGTTATGTATAGATATATAAGTGTGCCAGGATGGGAATATTTTATAATGTAGAGAGTTTTTCCAAGATTAATCTAATTACTACAAAAACCAAGTGAATTTGGGCGAGTACCCTAACAAAGTAATTCTAAAATACATTTGGAAGCAAAAATAGACAATATTTGTCAAAGAAAATATGAAAAAGAAAATAAAAGTGACTTTTTCCTATCAAGTACAATAACATGTAATAACATGTTATTACAATAACATGTAATAACGTGTTATTACAATAACATGTAATAACATTCAGAAATGTTATTATAAAGCAAAATAATTTAATTAATATAATTCTCAAACTAGAATGTACCAATAGGTTAAAAGAATAGAATATAAAATCTATAAATAGTTCAAAGTTTATGTAAGAATTTAGAACATGATAAAGATGACATTCAAGATCTGCTGTTGGCAGTCTGACCATTTGGATAAGAAGAGTGTTAACATCCATAGCTCATATATCAAATTGAATTCTAGATAGAATAAATATTTAAATTTTAAAAATGCATGAAATTATAAGGAAAACAGTAAAAATATTGACAAATACTTCTGTGATCTTAAAATGAGCATATTCTAAGGATAACACTAAAAATTGAAAGCAGTAAGGAAAAGATTGATAATTTGAGTATGCAAAATGCTTTTTAAAGTACCTAAAATGAATTAATAAAGAAAATAAAATGTAAGCTGATCAAGAAAAATAATTACAATAAATATTCCCAAAGGTTAATATCTGTAATGTATAAAGTATTGTTTCAAGTTTAATAAGAAAAAGAGGTCCAACTTGATAGGAAAATTTGCAAAGGTTATATTTGAGAAGTCCAAAAGAAGACAAACGATAACATGAACAAAATGTGCAACCCTAATAATAAGACATGCATATTAAAATTGCTGGATATTTTTGCCATAAACTTGCCATAAGTAAACAAGAAAATGATAGCATTCAGTATTTGTGAGACATATTCGGGGAAATAGGTATTGTAATACATTGCTGGTAGGTGTGTAAATTGATATTGTCTTCTTGGTGACCAGTTTTTCAGTATGCCTCAGAAATCCCTTAAATGTGTTTACCTTTTTACCTTGCAGTTCCACTTTTGGACTTGTAACTTAA